GTGCGGGCCGCCGCCACCTTGCCAGTCGCCTTCTTCTCCACCTGCGGGACGCCGGCTGCGCTCGGCCCCGCGCTCGCCGCAGCCGCCGCCGTCAGCGCAGCCGCGCCAGCAGCCGCCGCCGCGCCAGGGCGCTGCGCAGAGCTGGTCTCCGCCTCGGCCATCTCCAGCGCGTGATCGCCCATGAATCCGAGGTCGAGGACGTCGAGCGCCTCGACGGGTCAGCAATCGCGGCGCCCGCTGTCCGAAATGTGGACCTCCATCTCGGCGACGAAGCGAGCGGCCTCTCGGGCCCGCGACTGCAAGCCCTCCAGAACCAGGACATCGTCGTCCGACGCCGCCTGCAGGGCCGCCCCTTCCTCGGCGCGCTTGTCAGCGATCATGTTGTCCTCGCGCTCCAGGGCGGTGATCTTGCCTGCGGCCACCGCTGCCTCTGAGGTATGGGCAGGGATGTGCTTGGCCGACACCCCCTCCACTGCGTCGCCCACTCGAGCCCAGAGGTGGGCATGCAAGGAGGTGGGGCGGCAGGCTCTGGCCAGGTCCCTGATGCAGTCCACGGTGCCCTTGCAGTCGCTGTAGATCGTGTAGGAGCCCACGATGCCCTCCAGTGCCAGCACCGCCGCGTAGTCCTCGCCTGCTCGTGCCGACTGGTTCGGCAGCAGCTCAGGCGAGACGGCGCCCCACGCCTGGGCCAACACCTGGCCGCAGGGCGAGATCACGATGACCGGCCAGCCCGCGCTGCGCAGTGTGGGGAACTTCCCGTGGATGCAGGAGCCGTCGGTGAACGCCATCGTGCCCTCTGGAACGACCACGGGGCTCTCCCAGCCCATGCGTCGCCAAGCCCACTGCGGTTGCCAGCGCGGCCTCTGCGCCAGGCTGGAGGCGTCCACGAACAGGCCCTGGGCGAACAGCTCGCCGAAGAGCGGCCCCATGCTGTAAGCCACATGGGCCGCCTCCAAAACGCGGGGAGACAACCTGTCCCTGCGCCATGCGTGTCGCGCGAAGCAGACGAAGCGCCCGTGGAACATCGCGCCCTCGTCGTACTGGCACTGCAGGCAGAAAGGGTTGATGCCCTCCTAGTGCCTAGCCAGCCGCGCCTGGGGCCAGTGCGCCAGCGAGACCAGCCGGCGAAGGCAACCCCTGTGGTGGCTAGTCCAAACCTCGGAGCCTGCGCGGCCTAGAAGCTCATTGATGGGCCTCCAGGCGGGCGGCGGCCTCCAAGGCCAGAAAGACCCAGGGCGGGCTCTAGCCTCCTCAAGAGCAGCAGCCTTGCGCGTCGCCTCGCGCGCCCACTCCGCCAGGAAGAAGGGGGAGTAGGAGGCGACGTCGAACTCGCATCCTTGCTCGTCCTGTAGGCGGGCGTCTCCTGCGGTCAGCAGCAGAGTCGCAACCGGGTCCCGCACCGCAGCCCAGGGCCTTTGGCAGTGCTGCAGCCGTTCCGCATTCTGCAGGCAAGCCTGAACCGCAACAGGCCAGGCCTGCTTGGCCCAGGTGGCGCTGTCGAAGGCCTGGACTGCCATGCCAGCGGCAATCGCCAGCGGGTCCTGCCTCCAGCCGCGCGGGGCGCACTGTACCACATAGCTCAGCGCCGCTCCAGGGAGCAGCTTGCCAGCGCTCTTGGCCGCCGCCACTCGCAGGGCGCGCATCCTGCCAGGGGGCACTCCTGATGTGGCTGATCCCCTCACCAGGAGGGCGTGTACCCAGTTGCTGGGTGCAGGGGGGGGCCTGGCCAGTGAGCAGTGGATATGTATAGATCCCGTCGCCCTACGAGTTAACTTAGAATTGGGATATTAGCCCAGCACACGAAAACAATATGCATAATGCTTGCAAACCTACGGGCGGTGCTCGTCGTTCTCGTCGGTTCGACGACCGTTTAAATGTTGGGGTACATCGATTCTGCCGTCCATCCCCGAGATCGGAGCCACGATCAAAAACGGGTCTTACGCGAGATGGCATTGCGACTCGCGACCTTACGCGGCGGCTTTCCCGGGCCGCCCGCGCGGCACGCCATATTTGGAGACAAGGGCGCTTGCGCACGATATTACGCGGGCAGATTACGCGCCAGTGTCGGCGCAGACAACCCCGTGTTTTTCGTCGCTCCTATGGATCTGGATCTGGATACATTCAACACGCTGCTGTGAGGACCGCTTTGGGCTCAGAAGGGGCTCGGGCTTGCGGGCCGTTCCCGAAATCTGCGTCGCGCGGGAGCTGCTTTGGTGGCCAGGGCCCGCCGCGGCCAGACTGGCCCCATTCGTTCCTCGCGCGTTCCCGATGAGGCGTGCCCTGTGTAAGCGCGAGCACTGCGGAGGCTCCTCGTCAGCCCGCTGGGAGAGGATTCGGCGGGAAGATTCCTCCTCCTCCTCCTCCTCTTCCTCCTCCTCCTCCTTCTCCTCCTCCTCCTCCTCCTCCTCCCTTTCCTCCTCTTCCTCCTCTTCGTCCTCCTCGTCCTCCTCCTCCTCCTCCTCCTCCTCCTCCTCCGCCTCCGTTCCTCACAAGTTCCTGATCATTCGTGCCCTGTGTTAGCGCGATGACTGCGGAGGCTCATCGTCAGCCCGCACGGAGAGGGAGGGGGCGGAGCGGGATGCTCGGCGGCGAGCGAGGGAGGGACATGAGAAGGAAAAGGCCTTTTCAAAGGCGGCGGGGCTTCTCAGGAGCCATCGCGCCTTCTGAGAAATTGTTGTCTATCTTCGGGGACCATTTGTAAAACTTATCAGAAGGTTGAGGGACGGACTTCTGAGCCTTCAGGGAACGCACGCCCCTTCTCACTTCCACCCCCCGCTCGCTCGCCACCGAGTTTGGTTTTCGGGTCATAACTCTGCTCTCCGGCGGCCGGTCGGGACGATCCGGGCACCCCTGGAACGCTCTGAGCGAGGCGCATATGTTGGAACGCATCCCGATGCCAGGAAACCGCCGAGACCAACAAAACCGCCAGAAACCTGTGAACCTCGAAACCGAAACTCCTAAACCTTCCCCCTCTGGGGTTCGCCGCCGAGTCTGGGGTTCACTTCCCACCCTATCCCGCCGCCGAAATGCGAGCGGGGGGGACGGCTGGCAGGCGGAAGTCCTTGGCGTGGGACACGCGCCTCGCGTACTCCGCCTCGAAGCCCTGCAGGATGCGCAGGTTCTCCTCCGAAACGGGCCCAATGGGGCAGGTGGGCGCGGAGGCGTTTCCCGATGTTCTCATTTCGGTGGCAACTCACGGGAGCCTCCCAGACCATCGGCTATTGCGAACCGACGCTAACCGACGCGGGTCGACGCTGAAAAAACTCGAATCGACGCTTGCCGACGTGAAAACGGCGCTACCTCATCGACGCCCAGACGCGAATCGACGCCAATCGACGCTACAGACATAATCGCCAGGGTACACAAGGCCCCCATGACTTGCGACCGAATTCCTCCTATGACGCTGGCACTTCGGGAAACTGCGCGCTTCCGCCGAAAGGGGAGGGCAGCAACGTTGGCAAAACTAGGTTTAATGGAACCTGGTTTAATGATGCGCACTGGGGGACGCTTCCCCGCCCAGTTCCACTAACCGGAACTGCCGTCACCAGAAAGAACCAATTATACGGCAGACCTGGTTCGAAGACTCCGGCCAATTTAAAGGCTCCGTGGCCCCGCTACTAACCGGGTCCCCTTGACTGGGTCCTGGCTATACCCGGCGTAGGCACTTCGGGACACTGCGCCCTTCCGCCGAAGGAGGGGGGCAGCCAGGAGGGGTCCAAGAGGAAGGGGCGCAAATCATGGACAGCGGCACGTGCGCGGCCCAGGGGGGGGGGCCAGGGACACAATGAAATAAGAAGAAGCACCGTGAAATCAGAGGAGATACTATGGTCCACGCCATGATATCCACTCCCCAAATCTCGACGGCGAACGAAGGGGGCGAAATGAGAAGGAGAAAACCTCCCCAGAAGGCTCGAAAGTTCCCCGACCTTCTGAGAAGTCTTGTAACCCTTATCCGAAGACAAGAAATTCTCAGAAGGCGTGGCGGTTTCTGAGAAGTCCCGCCGCCTTCTGAGAGGGCCCGGCCCCGGCCCAGGTCCCCACCCCAGCGCCCTCCAAATCTACATTCCGAGGCCTCCCAGATGCCCAAGATTCCGAACCTAGCTTCAAAACAGCGAACGAAGCCTGGAAAGTCGCCCCAGGAGGGCTCCAAGACACCCCGAATGATCCTGATAGGCAACCGGCGTCGTCGTCAACATCGCCAACATCCTCGCCATTCTCTTTCTCCTTCTCCTCCTCATGATCGCCACGCTCTACTCGCCCCTGCCATTCCTTCGTGCCCTTCCTCCACCTGTGCAGGCGACCCTGCTCGCCTCACTCTCGTCATATTCATTCCCCCCCTGTGCTCCTACTCCTCCTCATCCACCTCTTCCTCCTGGCCCCCTCCTCATCTTCCTCCCCATGCTCCGCGCCCTCCTCCCAAACCTCAGGCGGCACCGGCCGTAAGGCCTTCGCAACTATCCGAAGACAAAGAAGTCTCAGAAGGCTTGAGGGCTTCTGAGAGGCCCCGCCGCCTTCTGAGAGGGCCTTTTCCTTCTCATTTCCCCCCTCGCTCGCCGCCGATAGTCATCACCCCCCTCATGGCCGCCCCCGCAACAGGGGGGCAAACCACCACCGCCAGGCCTGGCTCATGAGGCCGAGCCCCGGGCCGAGAGCGGCGGGTGCGCAGGCCTTCTTTGGCCCTGGCCTCCTCCTCCTCCTCCTCCTCCTCCTCCTCCTCCTCCTCCTCCTCCTCCTTCCTCTTCTTACCCATTCATGAAGGGGAATCCCTGAAAAGTAACGACCTCCTCCTCCTCTTCCTCCTCCTCCTCATCCTTGGCCCTGGCCCCGAGGGCGCGCAGACGAGTCTTGGGTTTAGGTCGGGCATGTCCCACTGCAGGCGGATTTTGGAAAATCAGACATGCCCACGAAATATAATCAAAAAATTACCAAAACGACGAAAAATCACCCCCGAACTATTTTAAACGATGTTTGAAGATTCCTCCTGTAGAAGGACAGGCCTGACTTAACCCTGGGGGCCGCCCAACGAGGAAAACACCAAAGGAATAACACAGGAAGGAAAAACGATATAAGCATAACTTGTGACACTCCGCCCGGATCTCTTGGATCGGTGCCGGACCCCCCTCCCTGGCGCGCGGAGCGCGCCAGGGGCGGCGCCAGAGCCGCCGCTAGGGGGGCGTCGGCGAAGATCGAAGCTTTGTGGCGTTTTTCTTCTTGGATACGAGCGAGGAACCCCAAGGAAGAAGGCACCAAGATCAACAGCCGGAGATCCGCGCGGACGCCTTGGGCGCGGCGCTGAAAGCTTCCCTCCCCCCCGGTGCGTCAGGGGCGTCGGGTAAGTAGGGGGGGGGGGGCGGTCAGCGCCGAGCCAAGGAACAGGGCTCGACCTAAACAGTGTGTTCCGTGTTCGTGTTGTTTTCGTTTTCCCCCGGTTCCCCCCTTCCTCTTCCTGGTCCTCCTCCTCCTCCTCGTCCTCCTCATCCTCCTCCTCCTCCTCCTCCTCCTCCTCCTCCTCCTCCTCTTGCTCCTGTTCCTGTTCCTGCTCCTCCTCTCCTTCGACACTTTTGCTCAAGATGTGCCCATGGTCGGCTTTGTTCCGCCTTTGCTGCAAAACGAAGTCTACACGACAACAGCCCACGAGGTCGCTAAAACACCGATTGGGTCGAGCCCTGCCGAGAGATCCGCACCCGAATCGTGGAGTTCGCAACGCAGCAGGACAGCCATCGTTCGGACGCCCATCCCTGGTGCATCCGTCGGTGTCGGGCGTGTCTTTTCTTTTGGCTCGATGATCCGGGCTTCTCCTCGGTGGGCCTCCCTGAGAAAAAATGCACACGTCCGAACGACGCCAAGCAACAGGGTCCAGCGGGGATCCGAGAAATCTGCGCGGACCTCCGAGTTTTTATGACTATGTCATTGTCTGTTCCCCTGGCATCCAAGAGAGCAAAACACCCACCCCCATCAGAATCAACCCGACACGCGAAGCCGTTCAGTAAACGCACTCATGTGGAAGGAATCGAACGGGGCAGGGCAGCTTCGTAAACGCCCAGGGCCGTTCAACACACGCCAAATATCGGGTCTGGTTTCATCCCTTGACATCCCCACTGCGCCTACGCTGCTTTGGCACGCCCAGAATAGAAACGGAAAAAAAGGGCACGATGCCCAAGATCAACTGCTGTCTAAAAGCGACAGTGGTCGCTGTTCGGCTGGCGACGCTCCGTCTCCAGAAAGGCCACGTCCGCGGCGACACCGACAGCGAGTCCTGCTCAAAGTGGGCAAGATCGGCTGCCGGTCTTCGTCGCCAGTTTTGCCGTGCCCGTCTCGATTCCCCGGCTCCCCTCTCCCTTCCCCGTCCTGCGACAAGCCGACTGCATAATCACTTCTCTTGCTTTCCGCACTGCCGTTTCTCGCGCTTCGCGCCGTCCGCCGCCCCCCCGGTGCTGTGTGTTGGGCTATGCCTGGGGCTCGGGGCTGGGCACCCATTCGTCGGCAAGGGTGGCGGCCGCTGCGAGTGCACCCCCCCGTGGCTCTCGGGGTGGGAGCCTTCAGCATCGGAGGCCTTCAGCATGACAGATCGCAGACTGTTCCCATGCCGAGAGAGCCCAGAATCGAACCGATGTCGGATCGGGGATCGAAATTGATCGGATCGGCGGAAATCGGCAGCCGAGTCGGGAGAAGTCGAATCGGCGGAAATCGGCAGGCTAGTATGCCTCCAGTAATGGGGGCAAGCGATTAAGAAAATGCCCCCCCCCGTCCCGTCCCAAGGGACCCAAAATAAATGGATGGGGCAGATATATAAAATTCGACCGCCGGAAACTGTTATTCCCAACTATCTTGTGGTGTTGGGTCCTCGTTTTGAAGACGGTCCCCGCGATCTCCTCCTCCTCAACCTGTTCCCTCTCCTCCCTCCTCCCTGCGCTCCACCCACCCAGTACAGCGCAGCGTAGCCCCATAGGGAGCTCCACCGAAGGTTAGTGCCACCGCCCGCATGGCGCCGCCGCCCCATTTTTGGCACCCCTCACACGCTTCGTGGCCCCATAGGGAGTTCCACCGAAGGCCCCTGTGCCACCGCCCGCATGGCGCAGCCGCCCCAATTTTGGCACACCCCTCACACGCTTCGTGGCCCCATGAGGAGCTCCACCGAATGCCCCAGTGCCACCGCCCGCATGGCGGCGCCGCCCCATTTTGGCACACCGGTCACACGCTTCGTGGCCCCATCGGGAGCTCCAACGAAGGCCCCGTTGCCACCGCCCGCATGGCGCCGCCGCCCCATATTTGCACACCCCTCACACGTTTCGTGGTCCCATCGGGAGCTCCACCTAAGGTCGCAGTGGCGCAGCCCGCCGCCCCATTTTGGCACACCCCTCACACGCTTCGTGGCCCCATCGGGAGCTCCACCTAAGGTCCCAGTGGCGCAGCCCGCATGGCGGCGCATCCAGGGCGGGAGCCAGCGTGCTCGCTCGCTCTGTTCGGCGCAGCGGACGACCCGCGCGCGTCGCCGGGACCCCTTCGGGGCGAGCAGCGCGCGTCGCGGGGACTCTGCGCGGCGCCGCGCCCGCGGCCTTGGACGTGGGCGCGCACGAGCAAAGAGGGAGAAGAAAAACGGGAAGGAAGTGGGCGCGATCGTCGTGAGAGGCGCGCCGACATGGGCGTCGACATTTACGCACGTAGGTTCACGCGCGCGCAGACTCATCCATAACCAGACTCATTCGTAATCTCGCACACAGACCTATCGTCTTCGCTCGCGTTCTGTGCCCCGCCACGCATGTCGGCACGCCCCTCACACGGTTCGTGGCCCCATAGGGAGCGCGGGTGAAGATAATATTTATACTTGCGGTATTCACAGCTGCATACGGCTGGGTCCTTCGCTTGGCGAATTCAATCATATGGCCCGCTGGCGTTCTAGTTTGCCGCCTTGCGGAAACTGATGTTCAATTCGTCCTCTTGCGTTCGTTTGATCACACGCGGCCGCGGGAGAAGGATTGCCGAGAGGGGGCGCCAGAAGCGCCGCTAGGGAGTCCCAGCGCAGATCCAGGAAATCCACGGAGGACCGTCAACAAATTATGTTTATGTAGTTTTTCAACCCCGACTTAAGAACCAACCTGATGACGGCCCAACTGTCGTCCTCGC